TTATTTTTATTTATGTATTTAGAAATATATTTATTTATAACAATATAAAAGAAATATGAGCTCATATATCATATATAATGATATATAATTATACATACACACACACGTGTGTGTGTGTGTGTGTGTGTGTGTGTGTGTGTGTGTGTGTGTAATCTCTACTCAAGGCAGTTCCTCCTCCTCATTTCCTCATATGGTCTATGACACCATCATTCTCCCCATCACCCGGGCTCAATACTTCAGAGTCCTCGTTGACCCTTCCCTAAGCTAGAGATCTGACATTTGTGTGATACAAACATTTTATCTACACTGTCTCATTTGATCTTCCCAACCTGGCAAGGTAATTATTATTCTCCTTTTACAAATGAGGAAACTGAGTCTGAGAAGTGAAGTGATTGACCTAGGATCAAACAGATAACATCTGAGACAGCATTTAAACCAGGCCTACCTATCTCCAATTCCAACTCTTTCTCCATTATACCATGCTTATACTAGCCATTTATGTTTCATCTCCAAGTTTCGTCGGTCCTTCTTCCATAATTTCTCTCCCATTTCTCTCTTTCTATTACGTGCTGTCACTTAATTTCCTTCTTCCTGGACTGTTACAGTGGCTACCTAACTGATCTCTCTGTCCTTAGTCTCTTTCCCCTCCATTCCATACTCCTCCATTCCATACTCCTCACTATCCCCAGATTAACCTTCCTAAAGTGCAGCTTTATTTGTTTTTTTTTTTTTGTTTTGTCTTTTTTTGGCTAGGCAATGGGGTTAAGTGACTTGCCCAGGGTCACACAGCTAGTAAGTATTATGTGTCTGAAGCTGGATTTGAACTCAGGTCCTCCTGACTCCAGGGCCAGTGCCCCTTAAAGTACAGCTTTGTTCCTACTCAGAAGCTTCCCATACATACCTGATGGCTAGAGAAAAAAAGGGTCCATTTACTTGGTGTCATGGCACTCTATAACCTGAGTCAAACATACCTTTCCAATGTTATCCTTCGCCATCCCCCTCCAATGTTATGTCCCTCCTCCCAGCCCGTACCCTGTGCTCTAGCCAGGCTGGTCTACCTCTCATTGCCTGAATGTATTTACTGATTTCCTTCCTCCACATTCCTTTTGAACATGCCTTCCCTCTGCTTTGAATACCCTTCTCTTCATCTTCACCTATTGATATATTAAAAGCTGTGTGACCCTAGGCAAGTGGCTCTCTGAGCCTCAGTTTCCCCCACTGTAAAATGGGGATAATACTTTTACTTCCTACCTCACAGGATTATTGTGAGAAAGCACTCTACACAGCTAAATGGGCTATAGAGACTATATATATAAATATATATATTTACAGTATAGGAAACTATACTATAGGAAACTATATCAAAAACACAAAGGGGTGCAGGCCTATTGCAGTGGAAGGAATAATTGGTCTAGATCCAGAAATCAGAAGACCTAAGTGTCTTACTACCTTTGACCCTGGAGCAAGTCACTTAAATTCTCTGAGTCTCTGTTTCCTATACTGTAATATATATATATATATATATATATATATATATATACACACACACACATATATATTTCAGTATACTGAAATTTATATATATGAAGCGTCATTAGGAGTACCTGTCTTTCAAGTCCAACTTCAAATGTCAGCCATTCCATAAAACCTTTCTTAGTTATCCCAGCCAGAAATGATCTCTGCATCTTCTGAATTCCCTGGTCTCTTCTTCTAAATTCCATAGCATCTCAGCATTTGAAAGAAGCACAGGTCTTTCACACAACAGCGGAAACATAGTAAATACTAGGGGAATGGGTCCACATGGGACAGTGAGAGGAGAACTAGGACTGAAGTCAGAGGACCTGGGTTCAAAATTCTACCTCTAATATTTTCTAACCACATGACCCGAGGCAAATCTCTGTGAGCCTCAATTTTCCCATCTATGAAATGGAGTCATTGAACTAAATGGTCTCTGAGGTCCCTTCCAACTCTAAATCACGTGATGTGATGCTTCACTCCCTCCCAAATGCCTTTCAATTGAGAGAAGCATTGTCCATTTTCTGCTGCCATTCTTTCAGCTGTTAGACTGGGCAGAAAACTGTGCTGTTCCAGTTTAGTCCTTCTGGGTCAGTCTAAGGTATGGTTTATGTCTTGGAAGCCTAATGAAGCCTATGGATCTTTCTTAGAATGATGTTTTTAAATGTGTAAAATAAAATGCATAGGATCACAGAGAAAATCTCTGCATCCAGAGAAAGAACTGATAAATAGCAGTATGTATAGAATAATTTTACATACATATACCTATTTGTGTCTAACGGTAGCCATCTCTGGAGGGGGGGAAGGAAAAAAAGAGAAAAAAAGAAAAAGGAAATTTATTATGTATAGATTATATATGCATAAATTTATTATGTATGTAAATAGAATAGCAAGTTGTATATAGTAGATTTTCAGTTTCATGTGCAATCTTTTTTATTATGCTATGTTATAGAAATTCATGTTTTATTGCATAAGTTAAATACACATTTAAAAAAAGGAAATCAATTAATTGAAATAATTACCAACTTTTTTTTAAGTTCATGAACCCCAGGCTAAGCAACCCTGATCTAAGAGAACTTAGTTGTGGTTTCCCTGACCCCCTTCCCTTCAGAAGGGCCTTACAAGTGATGTCTTCATCTTAGAGTAGCTGAGCCTGTGACAGTGCCCTGTCAGCTAATGTAGGAAATTTCTAATCCCCAGATAACACAACCAAAACATTAACTCTCCCCATTGAGACTTTGATCTCAAAGTGCCTTACCATTGAGTTTTGTTACATGTAAATATGTTCCTTTTGGAGCCCGTACACAGAAGGGAATTCCATTACTCAGCAATCAGTACAGCTATGACGAAGTACAGAAATTAGTCAGTAAAACACTGATTGCTTTTCTTTCCACAATACTATGCTCGACTTATCCTGTGGGCTCTAGATATCTTAACAGTAAAAGTCCCCATTCAACCCTGGATCTTGAATAACAGACATATTTCCATGACATTTGATTCTCTCCAATGGTAAGCAAAATGGGGCTACTGTGAAGTCTGATTCCACTTCTTTCATCTCGCCTACACACACACATATAGTTGCTTCACTGCCATCTTCAAAAGGAATAATGATATATTTGCATTAAAAGTGGTTTCATCAAAGCAAGGTGATTTCTATGGTATTATTAGAAGTCAGTTGACCCTGGGCAGATCTATTTCTTCCTTCTTCAAGATCAGAATGTATCTTTTTTTGGGGTGGAGGGGACAAATGATTTTTAAATTATTAACTTAATAATAGCCTTAACAAACAAATGAATAATAAAATATGGTATAAAATTTTCCAAATTTCACAAAATCCAAACTAGTTTAATTCTGATCTAAAAAAAGAGAAATAAAAGAAATGAATATGAAAAATAACAATTTATTTCCAGCATCCCCTTCCAATATCTTTCCTGTCTATATTTCTGTTTTATTGCTCTCATTAGATTTCTAAAATACAGTCATGCATAATGTATGCCATTCACCTAATTCTGCCTTCTTTACTTTGCATGAGCCTTTCTTTTTTTTCTTTTTATTCTTCATATTTGTTCTTTTTCATAGCTCAATATTGTTCCCCAGAATGGTGACTCCACTCTGGTGAGAACCTTGTAGGTCCAAGGGACAATAGCTCAGCCCCACGGAAGGCACTGCTTTCCCATTGGATCTCACAAGATTTTGCAAAGGGGTGCAGGCCTATTGCAGTGGAAGGAATAATTGGTCTACATCCAGAAATCAGAAGACCTAAGTGTCTTACTACCTTTGACCCTGGAGCAAGTCACTTAAATTCTCTGGGTCTCTATTTCCTATACTGTAAAATGAGGGGGTTGACTACCACCCAGGCATCCCCTGGAGATCATAAAAGGAAGAGAGATGCCAAGGTAGATAATAACAGTGTTTGTAGGGTTGCCAAATAGGAAGAAATCTTGTCCTAGCTGTAATGGAGAGAGGGAGCAGCCACTTGCCATGACTACATAAACCTTCTCAGTTGCTACAGATTCTTATGCAGATAGTTCAATTCAATCAGCATTTATTTACTGTGTGCCTGCTATGTGCCAAACACAGTGCTGGGTGCTAGGGCATCCAGACAGAAAGAAAATAGCCCATATTTCAAGGAACTTACAGTCTAAATGTGAAACACACACAAAATAAATACTAAGGAAATTGGTGGGAGGGGATATCAGGAAATTCATTCATCAATAAGGCAATCCTTGCCCTCAAAGAGCTTATAATCTAATATAGGAGACAACATGTAAACAAATATATACAAAGCAAGCTATATATAAGATAAATATGAAACAATTAACAGAAGGAAAGGACTGGAATTAAGAGGGATTAGGGAAGGCTTCCTGTAGAAGGTGGGATTTTAGTTGTGACTTTAAAGAAGCCAGGGAGCTCAGTAGTCAGAGCAGAGAAGGGAGATTGTTGGAGACATGGGCAACAGCCAGAGAAGATACCTAGAGCTGATATAAAGAATGTCTTGTTCCTGGAACAGCCAGGAGGCTGTGGCACTTGATCAAAGAGTACATAGTGGAGAGTTAGGTGTAAGGAACACTGGAAAGGTAAGAGGGGGCTAGCTTACGCACGGCTTTGAATGCCAAACAGAGCATTTTGTAGGAAGTGGAATTTGAGCCAACCCTTAAAGGAAGCTAGAGATTGAAGGTATTCAGTCGCAAGTAGTCAGTCCCTGTCCTCAAGGATCTCACATTCTATGAAGTGTAACCTAGAGGTACAGCTAAGAACCAGGAACTTGGACAGTGCTGTTCAGTTCATTGAACTTGCACTCAAAAATAAATTGCCCTTAGTTGAAACAAATTCTAAACACTGTAGGGTGAAACCTCACTGAGAACTAAACCTTGAAGCACCATCTGCCAGTGTGGGGTTGCAGTCTCAAAAGGCTACCATGAGGGAGAGAGCCAAGCTAACCAAGTCATGAACCACTCCTCTACCTCTCCCCATCCCAATTTTACCTCAGTAAGGCTTTTATGCATACCAATGGAGAGCAGGTTTCTCTGGGAAATCCTCATGAAATGTCATCCATATGTTTTTGAGTCATTTACAGGGAGAACCCATCAAAATATTGTTCTTTGAAGATCCATTTACATTTGTTCTAAAGGCCTATTTTAAAGCTTATGCAAATGAACTAGATTAAGGTTGCATTTGGCAAGTTAAAACTGGAAAATGTAAAGTTCAGTTTGAAGCTTGGTGTAAATAGAAATTTCACTTCTCAAGTGCCCTAGTTTCCCTTTCTTAGCATAAGTGCCCCCTGCGCACAATGACTTGAGATTCATCTGATTAGCTGAAACTGTGGAGGAAAAAAAAAATGATAGATGACATAATGCTTTAGGGAGAGCCCTGGACTAGCTGGCTCAAGACCTGGGCCCTAGTTCTGGCTGAGCTACTGTATATGGAGTACCTTGAGAAAATCAATTAACCATTATGAGCCTTGATTTCCTTATCTTATAAAAAGCCTCATCAGATTATATGCTTTTTTTTAAAGTCCTTTTAACTCTAAGAAACTGTGGTCTTTAATTTTTTGACAACTCTTACTTCCTGACCTATATCCTGCCCTTTTCTTTCAACATTTTGCATCAGCCAAGGAGTCCTCATTCAGCCTGAAAATGGTTGACTGACCATACCCAAAGATGTAATGGATCAGTGTCCATTTAGAGCTCTGTGGTCTCTCTTGGAATGCCCCAGGCATCTGATCTTGGTCTGGTTCTGTCTGACATTTTTATCAATGAAGATGAAGGCATAAATGCCATGCTTATCAAGTTTGCTGGTAGTAATAGAGCTAACACATTGGATAAGAGAGTCAAGTTTCCAAAGAAGCTTACTAGACTGGAATGGTGGACAGAAGATAAAATTTGATAAGGATACAAATAAAGTCCTACACTTGGGTTTTACAAAAAGCAACTGTATAAGCGCAGAATGAAAGTTATGTGTCTACAGTACAGTACATATGGAAAAGATCTGGGGGCTTCAGTAGATTTCAAATTAAATCATAGTTGTGTGATGTCAGCCAAAAGAACTGTGGAAACATTTTTTTAAATGATTGTATCTAGTGTTTGGGTGACTAAAGGCTCACTCTATTCTGCACTGGTTAGGCTGTAACTGAGATGCTGTATATATATCTAGTCACGATGTTTTAGTAGGTACTCAGAGCAAGCCATTCAAGTATAGGTTGAAGATCCAGGAGAAGATTTAGTAGGGACATGGCAACAGTCCTCAACTATTCAAAAGATTATCATTGTAAAGATATTGCTCTGTTTAGAACATCTAAGATAGAGGGCAGAGTTAGGGCCAGTGGGTAGAAATCATATCGCAACCTGTCTGAGGTCAACATAAAGAAAACCTTCCTAATAATAAGCGCTGTCCAAAGAGTTGTCTTGGAAGTGAATAGTTAGTTCCCTATAATTATAAGTGTTCAAGTAGAGGCTAAATGACTACTTGTTAGAAATGCTATGGATAGAATTGATGATATGGCAAGTAGGGGTTACCTCTAGGTAAACTCTAGGTAAGGATTGGACTAGGTAAGTCCAATGCCAAGATTCTATGATCCTCTCAGTATAAGATTCGATGATTTGAGTCTATGGATTGGGCTTTCAGGTTCTTTTTATGAGATCTCATACTTTCTCTCCTTGGCAATCTAAAACTAAGGTTAACACCTGGAATGGGTATAAGAAATCATAATCTTCAGCTAAGTCAAACTGAATACTTCTCAGATGTGTGACAATCTATTTAGTAACATGTCATTCGGTCAATAAACATTTATTAAGAGCTTGTGATGTGCCAGGGACTGTGCTATGTGTTAGGAATAGAAGGAAATTCAAAAGAGAGTCCCTGCTGTCAAGCAACTCTAAGGAGGGTGGGGGGGGAGAACATGAAAGTAACTATGTACAAATAGGATATATAAAGGATTGATTAAATATTGTCAGGGTGGAATAGTGACTATGCTGTAGAAGCCAAGAGATTCAGATTTAATTCCTAGCTCTGACACCAGCTATATGAACATGGGCAAGTCATTTGATTTCCCTGAGCCTCAGTCTCCTCCCCTGTAAAATGAGTATAATAATACCTGTAGTGTCTACTTCATAGTACTGTACGATGTGAGATAATGTACTATGCCAAACATCGGGCAAATTTTGAAGTTCTCTATAACTGCCAGTCATTATCATTACTATCTCGTAAGGGAATTAAGGAAGGAAAATTCATAGATAATATTACCTTGAATAAACCATTGAATACAAAAACATCTATGACATTTATTACACATTAACATACATTTGCAGATATGATGCCTAGTGGAGGTGGAAGTGGAAAATAAAGATGATTAGTAGAGTATATGAATCTGAATTAAGTAGAAATAGGAATGGCATCCTGAAGGAAGAGGAATTTAGCCTGAAATCTAAAGAACTTAAAAGGTATAGATAGAGCAGTGGTTCTCAAATTTGAGGGTCTTGGGGCCCATTTATGCTCTTAAAAATTGTTGAGTGCCCCCAAGAGTTTTTGTTTATTGTTGTATTACAGATATTATCCATATCAGAAATTAAAACATCTTAGTATTATTAGGAAAATAGCTTCTTCCTCACAGATTCCCTGAAAGGGAATCTTGGGGACCTCCAGAGTTCCCTAGACTGTACTTTGAGAACCACTGGTTTAGAGTATGTGGGGGTGGCAGGGTAGAAAATTACTTAGAAGAAAGGACAGCTATTCCATAGGGTTGGGTAGGGAGGAGGAAGAGAAGGAAGGAACAGACTGATCAAAGGAGTAAGGAAGGGAGGATTACTCATGAGAGAGGGCACACTATCCTTAACCCAAAATACCTAAGGCTCTTAACTATTGAGAAAAGAGTTAGCCCTAATTGGATAAAAATTTGGGGGTGGTCGGCTATCCAGACACTATAGGAAATATAATCTGGTCCCTATATTTTATGAAACTTTGTCCCTACATTCTCACACCAACCTGCTCTAAAATAAATGTTGTATGACCAATACTGGTCAGTTTCCGAGAAGTCTTTTAAGAGCTCTATACCTTGAGAGGCTCTAACTTATCAAAGCACATCTTAGTCAATGATTCTGTTTTTTTTCCAATCTATGTGCCCCATAGGGGCAAGTGAAATAAAACAAATACAAAAAACCCTCTACCTGAATAGATTAGGGGTCTAGATAGGACCTGTATTAGACAAAATTATGAAGTGGGCAAAGTTTGTCTCCAACAGGCTATACCTCTAAAGATCTAGGTAAAATAAGGGGGTTGGATCAGATCATTACTAAAGTGTCTTCTATCTCCAGATCACATAATCTTTTGAAGCTTTACTAGGCTTTTTTCTGTTCTTTCTATCTTACCAGGGCTCCCGATGTGTATTCTGCCCTCTTTCCTGACCCAGAATGTCATTCATACTAGCCTGCTAGTGACTAGATAGTGTTACACACACATTCCCCAAAGCTATTTGTATTTTTTTAATGCCATCAAGGGATGGCTTAATTAACCCAAAGGAATAAATCTCTGATGACAGAATTTCAGGAACTGTAGCACCAGGGGTTAGAGTAAATATTGGGAGGGGGCAGGAAGAAACACCCTCCTTTTAGATCTCATTGAATGGGTGACTACTTGGTCTGTGCTGCCTGCCAGCCTTGGACGCAGCATAGGTCCCCTTCTTGCTCTTTGATGCTTCCCCAACAGCCCGAGCTTGAAAAGGAGAAAATCAGCTCCATCGAGATTGGCAACAGGGCACTTTAGCTCCTTTCAGTCCTTTTTATAAAACCATATTTTACACTGTTGCTTCAATTGAGACCCATCTGCATTTTCCTCCATTAATCACTTGTACAACTCCACAGCATAGCCTTCATTACCTGCTAAAAATGAATGTGGAGAGAAAACATAATTAGATGCCACTTTTGTTAAATAATATCTTGAAAACAGAGCCATGACTTAAATTAAAAAAAGGAGAAGGGAGGGGGGAACCACACAATTTGAACTAATGGCCCAAATTACCTTAGGTTAAGCTGGATTTTAAATCAGTTTTTTTTCTTCCTCTCTCTCTCTCCCTCTCCAGTGAATCATGACAAATCTCCAGTTCAGCTGGATGGATGATTAGATTCCCTCATCTCTGCTGAAACAATGAAATATTTCTATAATATTAAACCCGTCAAAATGATCACAGTGCATTGTCAAAAATCTAAGTGTTCCTTCTCCAATCCCCATGACTCTTGCAAAACGGAGTACATTTTATTTGCTTTTCCTTGAAATCCCCAAGGTTTGGGATTTCTTTTAGGAATAGGAATTCATGCTTCCATGTTCTCGGTTTCTGCCACATTTGTGCCATCATCCCAACCCTCAGATATGAGAATTTAATTTGAGACCTCCACGCCACCTGAAGAAGGACATGCCATGTCACCTGTTCTCTGTGTCTATGCACCATCTAGCCCCCATGCTTGGGATGCCCACTCAGAAGGCCAAGCTTCCTTCCAAGCATGGCTCATCTATTACCTTCTGCATAAGGCCTTTCCTCAATTCCCCTCCTTCCCCCTCCCCCAGTTGCTAGTGCTCCCGCTACCCACTTGCCCACGAAAATTATATTGTGTATATTTTGCATTTACTTATCTCTGTAAATATTGTTTCTCTCCAACAGAATGTTGGGTGCAGAGAGTTGTTTCGTTTTTGACTTTGTAGCCTCAGCACCTGGAATCACAGATTTAGTATGGGAAGGGACTTAAGAGGCCATGAAATCCACCTGTGTCTGAGTGAACTGAGGCCGAGGGAAGTGAAATGCCTTGCCCAAGATTGTATAGATAATGTCAAGTATAGGATTTGAACCCAGGCTCTCTGATTCCAGACTAAGAGTCCTTTCCACTATTCCACGCTGCCTAACTAGCTCAGGGCCTGGCAAACACTAAGTGCTTAATAAATGTTCATAAAGTCATAGATTTTGTTGTTCAATCGTTCAGTTGTGTCTGACTCTTTGTGACCCCCATTTGGGGTTTTCTTGACAAAGATACTGGAGTGGTTCACCATTTCCTTCTCCAGATCATTTTACAGATAAAGAAACTGAGGCAAACGGGGTTAAGTGACTTGCCCAGGGTCACACAACTAGTAAGTGTCTCAGGCTAGATTTGAACTCAGGTCCTCCTAACTCTAGGCCCAGGGCTCTATCTATCCACTGTGCCACCTGGCTGCCCT